TTATATATATATAATTATATATATATATACACTACAATAATTTAATGGTCAATATCTCTATTTATGTACAGACATTATTATAAAAATATAATATTTCAAAATCATGTTTAAAAAGAAACTTTGGTATTAACTTGTCCAGAGATATTTTTTTTGTGTTATATGTGTTTTTCATTAATTCTCGAAAAAAAAACCAAAATTTTGCAATCACAACTTGATAGACTTGGAAATGGTTTTTTGTATAACAATATTATCAACAATGTTTTGTCTTTTCTTCACTAACAGAAAAGGTACGTATACACGAGTAGATGGAAACATGCATGAACCGGAAATAATGGCAAACACGTACTAATTGTGAACATTTTTCCTCTTGAAATACTTTTTGTGGATCATACACTATTTGAACTTGTACTCCAATTAATTTCCATTTTTTAATTTATAAAAATACCTAGACAGAAAATTTTGTGTCGCAAAAATAAGAATCGTCGGTATGACATAGACGGCTTTTAACTCTATAGTTTTAAAATGAGAAAAAAATATACGAGCGAATGTATAGTATATTGGTGCAAGTATGACGTATTATCTCTTTTACAATTGGCTAAGGGTTCTTAGAAATGTACTCCCTACATTTCGCATTTTTAAAAATTAATTTATTTAAAAATCGAACTAATAATGTATACTCCATCTATACTTAATGGCTAGGTTATATTCTCTTGAACTTATTTTTATTATTTAATATCTTTAATTTGTTCTAGTATATTTGTTTAGTTGACTTTTTTCACGTCAAAGTGGATACATTTTGAGCCTTAATTAACTAAAAAATGTATTGTACTTCGTATATATTAGTTTTAAAATGATTTTATTTACTTTATCTTATAGATAATTTTCAAATTTTTATTTCATTATATCAATGGCAATAACATACATTTAGTATAATTGGTGTTAAAATTTAAGTAAAACAAGTTTGACTAAAAAAAATCAAACGAAATAAATGCACCAAGACAAAGAGTAAAATTCTTAACAAACGAGAACAAATCAGAGTAGAAATAAGTTTAACTTAACGAGAAATAGATCAAAATTTTAAATCAGATGGGACATTAATAAAATTAGATTGCCCAACAAATATTTGGTAGCACAAGAAATTAGAAATGCGATGTTGACCATGGAGCAGTGACTTCTGCTAGCCACTTTAAGGTTGCTCTACCATATGCTACCTGGGCATTCATTTGCCTCACTAAATACGGACCCACTTAATATAATTAGCAATTTTTTTTGGTCTGTAGTATTTTTTTTTACCATGAATTACGGAAAAAGTATATTTAGTTATAATATATTTTTAGTAAAATTGAACTTATTTTAAAATATAGTTTTAAAATATCAAATTTTTAGAATACGAGTATTTAATTATTTTAAACTTAATTTATTTTGCAGTCAAAGGGTGTCATAGTTTGACAAAAAAAAATCAAATTGTGATAATCTTTTAGGTATGGAGAGGATATAAGTTTTACTTTAATTTCACTATTTTGTTTCACAATGGACCAAACATTTATTTTTTAAAGGGAAAATGCATTCAAAACTGGACAAATACTTTGAAATGAAGATAGTATAATTCAGAGTATAAGGGTAAATAATCTTTTTTTGTAAAACAAAAAATTTTACACTAGTTTTGTTAAATAATGTTCATCTGATATACAAGAAAGTTGGCACGAAAAAATGTACAATAAATATGCACATAGTTTATCATATTAACGAGTTAGACATAATTTATTTGTATGTAGTGCTTAGTATGTGAAAACTGAAAAATGTCCAAATGAATTTAGACAATCACAGAGAAGATAGAAATTAATTTAATGTAAACTAATTGGTTACTAAAACAATCACGAGTACTATAATTTGTTTAGAAAAATATTAAAAAGTTGAACTGGATAATATAGCAAACAACAACAAAATATGAGTTTGCAAAAAAAGGAAGATTTTTTTTTAAAGAATCTTGCTATAATTGGAATGCATATTCACTCCAATCTTGGAATTGACTGAGATTTTAGATTTTGGAATTGGAACAAGCTAGATGCCATAATCTTATATGAATTCATTCCGTTCGGATTCGGAATAACTTTAGGTCGTGTTTGGTTTCAACTTCTCAAGATTCAGGTCAGTTTGGGTTTTGTTTGGACGACGATTTTAAACTGATTGATATTTTGTGTATTTACATTTTCTTCTGAAGGTAACAACGCTCATAAAAAAGGAGTCCACGCGTTAACAATGCTCGTACATTTTCGTGTATTGGATGAAAGTTTTTTATATCGCGATTTTGAATTACGACCTCGTAATGTGTGACGATATATTCACGTTACGTCGCTTATTGTTTTGTTATGCCACACTTACAATAAATTTTTTATATTTCAATTCCCAGAAAAAAATTATATTGGTCAGTCTATCTGATATTGATGTGGTAAGCTTCTTTTTTTCTTTAAAGACATGTAACTTTTGTAAAATAGTTCGAGTTTAATACTTTAATTTATTCAATCTTGGGTTATACGAAATATATGTTTTAAATTCAGTTTAGAATGATATCTTTCCAAGTGTCTCTGTCATATTTTTATTTTGGGAAGTACGGACTAATATTTAAAGGTCTCAGTTTAGAATGTAATTTTTTTAAAAAAAACAAAAAATTAGGAACTTGATTATGAAGGATTCTGAAAGTACAATTTTTTAATATATTTCCTACTTTTATTAAAAAATTAAGCTGGTTTTGGCATTTCTTTCCTTCATTCGATTCTGATTTTAAGAACAAACTATTTTAGGAATGAGTAGTTTCAGAGAGTTAGGTCCTGTATGGCATCAGCTTTAGAGGTTAACGTTGGCATTTTAATTCAAAAGGTTATTTGACGACTGACGGTAGCCTTTAACGTTAGTTTTTTTTAAAATTAATCTACACCGTTAAAATTTTATCCAAAACACTAACGATAATAAAAAATGATATTCCCAAATAAGGCATTAGACAATATAAAAATTAGAAAATGAGAATAGATTGTTTTTTTAAAATTTAACATAAAAATAACTACAAGTATGATTTCTTTCTATCATCATAATCTATAATAAACAAAACAAATGTTAAGCATATTGAATAAATAATATAGATGCATATATTTAGTACAAACACTTTTTTATTTCCATTCTTCCAAAATAAAATATGTACATAATTTCATATGACATTATAAAAATGCATTTTTCTTTTTTGTTAGTTCTTTAGTTTTAATTTTTGGCGAAATAAGTGTTTGTGAAGACAACATTTGGGAAAAACTTACCTTGAATCAAAGGGTAAAAAAAGAAGGAAAGAAAATTCAAAAGTGAATCTCATATTCCCATTAACTCTGCACCATATGTGGCGTTAACTGATGCACACGTGCCACTCACGTGTTTTTTCCTTATTTACATTAAATGCTCCCCTTCTAAAACTAACTTTCTACTTTTTTCAATTTCTCGTATGAAAAGACAAAAAAAAATTACAAATGAATTTATTTTTTTAAAAATTTATTTTCTTAAATTAGGTATAAAATTTAAATATCAAATTTGTTTATATCATATGTTGGAAACTTTACGAAACACATGTATTATTATAAACATTTAGTCTAGTACAGAATACAATTTAAAAGTGACGTAGAGAAAAGAATAAAAAAACCAAAATTTTTTTATTAAAGTGAAAGGGGGTTATGTTTAGGGACATTTCAAAAAAGGAAATAAAGATTATTAATTCGAAATAAAAAGAATATTATCCTACTCCATATCAAAGTTTGATAATATAAATAATATATTTTTCGTTTTAATACTTCTTTAGTTTCTAAATAGATTATAATTTTTTTCTCTCATCTCGATAACTTTTGTTTGTTTACACAATTTCATTAAGTATTTGATAAAATAAAATATTCTTGTCAACTCTTGTTTTGTAAAATTTTTGACGTAGTTTTTTTGATATAAAGATTATTAATTCGAAATAAAAAGAATATTATCCTACTCCATATCAAAGTTTGATAATATAAATAATATATTTTTCGTTTTAATACTTCTTTAGTTTCTAAATAGATTATATAATTTTTTTCTCTCATCTCGATAACTTTTGTTTGTTTACACAATTTCATTAAGTATTTGATAAAATAAAATATTCTTGTCACCTCTTGTTTTGTAAAACTTTTGACGTAATTTTTTTGATATACCAATTTGTAAATAAAATAATTTCAAAAAGTAAGAAATTTTTCTTCGTAACCCGCAGTTTGTAATCAAATTGGAGACGAAGAGAGTATTTTCATTCAGATTGAGTTTTTCAAGTCAAACATGAAAAAACATTGAATCTCAATTAAATAATGGACGTGTTTGGAAAGCAGTTTTTCGGATAACTTTTGGCATATTTGACTGACTTTGGTTTTTTTGATTTAGCGACCCGCCAAAAACCACCATTTGGCTAATGATTTTTTCACCTGTCATTTTGATCCGAAAAGCCAAAATCTGAAATGCCAAGAGGAGTAGCATTTGGACTTGGCTGTTAGGAATTTTTAAAAAAAATTCATTTTTCTTGAAAGATATTTTATAATATATGTAAAAATAAAAATAGAAATAAAAGTTAAAAAAATTAAATGCTAAAAAAAATCAAATTTAAATTTTTAAAATTTCAAAAAAATGAAATGAGAAAATAAGAAGTAAAACTCATTAAAAAGTTATATATTAATAATTTCTTATTAATTAAATGAAAGTAATAAATGAAAAATAAATATTGTGTGTGTGTGTGTGTGTGTGTGTATATATATATATATATATATAAACATCTAATTTTACCAAACATTTTTAACAATCAGCTAATTCATCATGGCGGTCAAACCAGCTAAACCAAACAGCCATTCATAATAGCTGGCACGAACTGCCAATAGCCAACACCCAAACAAGGCCAATAGCTGTGATGTCATTAGTACAAAAACTATTTCATTAAATTTATCTTTTAAGAGCGTTTTAAATGTTATTTTATTTTATCAATATTGAACATGCAAGTTGAAAATAATGAAAAAAAATAACTTGGGCTAACACAAGGAAGTACTCCTCCCTAAAAAACACACACACACACTCAAACCCCAAGCCACATTAAACACACTCTCACCTTCTTCCCCTTCTCTCCGTCGCCTACTCAATAAATACCTTTCCCGTCCGTCACCATTCCCAAAACTAAACCCCTTTTTTTCTAATCTCTGAATCCCTCAATTAGATTTCAATGTCCGCCGGGATTTTCTCGCCGCCGTTCTTCCCCACTGGCGGCAGTCCGCTCCCCACCTCCGCCACCGTCTTCCAGCCACAACAACCGGCGGATTCGCCGCCAATCTCCACTCCCTCTAACTCGTCGTCGATCGTCATTGTTGTGATTGTTATTGCCTCCGCCGTCATCGTCTCCGCCTCGATCTACCTCCTCCTCCGCCTCATGTCTCGCGGATGCAACCGCACGCACGACGCGGCGGAGGACGTCATCTCTAGCTCCGCCGCCTCCGCCGCCGCTGCCGCGGCGAGGCGGCCGTCTCTGGAGGCCGTGGAAGCGCTCCCGCTTTTCACGTTCGGTTCCGTCACGGGGAACCTGACCGGCGCGGATTGCGCGGTCTGTTTGTCGAAATTCGTGGCGCACGATCGGCTACGGCTCTTGCCTTTGTGTTGCCACGCGTTTCACGCGCAGTGCATCGACGCGTGGCTCTCCGCGAACCAGTCCTGTCCTCTCTGCCGCTCGCCGGTGTATCCGACGGAGGCCGATGTCCTGAGGAAAATCCTCTCCGTCTCCAACGACCGCGGCAATGCAAACAGCGGCAGTTTCCGCGTGGAGATTGGAAGCATAAGCCGCCGCCGCGGCGGAGACCCCGCTTCCGCCGCCGGAAACAGTCAGAGGTCGTACTCCGTAGGCTCCTCGCTTGAATACGTTGTCGACGACGGCCGCGAAGTCTCTGTCCAGTCAATTCACCGCAGAGGAGCTTCGGAGTGCACCGATAAGGAATCGATCGGCGCTCCGGTGCCGGAATCCCCGGGAGACAATTTGGCGCGAGAGGTATCCAGGGGGAGGAGTTGGCTGAGAGAGTACGTCGATCGAATTGCTTCCTTTTCCGTTTCTTCTAGAACGATCTCCGGGAGGTTCTTCGGCGGGAGTAGCCGGAGGAGCGACGTCGTGGTTCCGATCGACGACGACCTAGAAGCCGGCCGGGTCGGCGAGGAGATCAGCGAGTTGTTCCGATGGCTCTCAGCCGTATGACGAAGCGCGACATTGCTGTAAATTCAGTAACTCTATAAGGGCAAACTAGTCATTTCATAGATACATAAAACACCAAATTTTGCTATTCATCCACCTGTTTTACTGGAATGTGGATAAACTGAATTCATTGAGTATCATTCTCAGTGTTTAAAAAAAAAAGAATAGAGAAAGGTATTAGTCAAACTTAATGATACTTTATGTTTAGTAATTATTCTTTAATTACGGCTTAATCCTCCGAATCAGCAGCACTTTTTTGTGTGTGGAATGATTTGTGGTGATCAATCTTTACTAAGATCATTTTATATATTTGCTGAAAAGTATTATTGCAAATTTTTACATCTAAAATAAGGATTTTGCACATATTGATAAATAATGAGTATATATTTAGATTATTTACACAATTTATATGGAAATGTAAATTATGTAATTAGCACCAGATTTTGAGTGATTTACTAAGTAATAATGTTAAACTTTTAAAACCATAAAAACTAGAGCAATGCTACGTTCACAAACAGGATACTCACAAATTTCACAAACTTACTATTTGTGGTTTAAATTTTTATTTTAAATTTATTTTAGACTATTTAATTTTATTTATTGAAGTTTACAAATAGTAAGTTTGTAAAGTTTGTGAACATTTTGTTTGTGAACCAAGCATTTTCCTAAAAACTACCACTTAACATATACGGAGTATATTACCTTGAGTACAACTTTTTCAAAGTGTTAAAGATAAGTTTTACTCTGTTTAGCATTTTTCAGTTGTTTTTCTCGTTTTGGAAGAGTATCCAATTGCAATAATGCTTGCTTTTAATATTTTTTAATATTTTAAAAAATTATCCCTAATAATGTATCCATAATCTAAGGCTAAAGTTACTGTGGTTAAAATGAAAGTTTAGATTTCTATCTAAGGCGATTGTATAATTTAAAAAGTTGGTCAGGCCACTGGTAATACTAGTAACGCCACCCGGCGTTATGATGCTTTTGAAGCCCAGGGGGCGTTAAACACCGCCCCCCTGGGGCTTCATAGTGGCGTGATCGTTCCAGCATCATTCCTTTAACGCAACTTCTTTCCCTCATAACGGCAAATTTAGCCGTTTTAAGCACACAAAAAAAGAAAAAATTAAATATTTTTTTTATAAATTTCAAACTCCATCTCTCTCCCATTTTATAATTAAATTTTTTAATTTAATGAATGCAATTTTTTAAAATTATTATCGCTTCAATTTCTTTTAATTTAATGAATCTAATTTTTTAATTATTCTTGTTCCAATATAATTAAATAATAAAATAATTTAATTTTATTAATTTAATTTTAGAAGATGTATATTTAAAAATGTAAAAAATGAAGGTTTGAAGCTCAGGGGCTTCAAACCCATTTCCACTGAATCTGTGAGGTAAGTTAAAACTGACGTGGCAGAGAGAGAAATTTTGAAACCCCGGGGCTTCACATGTATTTCCAGTGTTCTCATAGTGTGATGAGGTATGTTGCGGCTGGATTAGTGTTGCCATTAATTTTATAAGATTCAACTATAGGGAATTAGGGAGTATTATTTTAATTTAGTCAATAAATTACTTATAACACTCCACAGTATAGTCAAAAGCATGTTGCCCGTTTGGGAATAGCATTTTCGATTAGCATTTTGTATAAAACATTAACGGTGCAAATTAATTAATTTTGAAAACACTAACGCTAAACGCTGCCCATTGATACTCTTTTCAAAATACTAACGCTAAACTCCAACGTTATTTCCAAAAAAGTTCAGAACAAATTAAACATTATATCTCTACACATCAAAACATTTTTTTATCTGACAATATTTATATGTATGAATAATATCATTTAAGTTTGGTATTTCATTCTAAAAGAAAAATGATAATTACACTTTACTTTTTGTTATTGACACCCCAAAGTACATTATATGGAGTATATGTGAGAGACTAATGTCTTGGGATGCTAATATATAGCAAAAAAAGTAGAGTGTGAATATCATTTTTCATTCTAAAAATAATAGCTTGGCAAAAAAAAAAAATAGTGAATTGTCGCATATTCCTTCGTCCTAAAACACTACAGAGTACTACTTACGAGGTACGTAGTATATCTGTTTTTACATATTCACAATTTTCAATACAATAATTCGAATCTCTGACAATGAATATCTACGTAATATATTTATACATAGAATTAATAAATATGTCATACTATAATAAAAACATGTCAATTTATAAAAAAAATATTTCAAAATTTGTGTAATGATGATATATTTCCTCCGTCTCATAAAAATTTTTAATGACAAAAAAAGCGCGTTCTAAAAATGCGTAATTTTAATAGTATTTTCTAGTTATTCTTTTACGTTATAATAATGCATGATACGATGTATCCGATAGATAAGTTATAATAAAAAAAATAATATTAAAATTACCTATTTTTAAGACTTTTTTATCCGTTTTTTGGACCAAAGAAATAAAATCTACATGGAAAGTCAACTTATATTACTTAAATCTCATGGTCAAAATCGTAACTCAATTTATACTACTTAAATATCGCGGTCAATATTTGTAAACTATGTGTGATTATTGGTTAAGCTTATCCTATTAAATTGGTGAATATGTCCGGAATTGTTTCAATCAATTATAAATGTGTTTCTTTATTTTTTATGAAAACAAAACTTAATATAAGGTCACGTTCTTTGAATTTTGGGTACAAGTTGTAAAATAATTATAAATTTATTAGGAGATATAATAATGTTCTTTCTTATTTTACTTGATTTTGTACTCAAGTTTTATTAATTAGATAACAAGGACAAGTGAAAGTACTAACAAAATAGAACATTTGGAATATATGTAAGATTAACGAGATCTTAATGATTTTACTCTTTTTTCAAACAACAGATTACGTGGCATTGACCCATTATTTGACTGTGAGATTTCAAAGATTACAAAGTTCTAAATTCTAGTGTAGCAATGTGATTCGTGCGGACAAAGAAAAAAAACATTCCAATTTTACTAGGATTTGCACATCCATAATTTAGGTTTTTTTTTGGATAGTAGAAAAACAAGGTTTTATACCTTTGAATAGTTTTGGTAACTACATTATTGTTTTCTTTAAATGATACTCCCTCCGTCCTATAATGATCTTCTCGGTTCGCAAAACGAAGAAAAATCCTAAGTTTTTTCAATCTATTTTATTTAAATATTGGTATAGAAATAAAAAATAAAACATACATATTTAAAAACTACATCAAAAGTTTAGCAAAACAAGTGGTAACAATAATATTTTATTTTATCATATAGGCAATGAAAAAGCACAAATAAATATAAATTCCCGTGAAATTGGAATAGTGCTTTGGGAAGATCATTATAGGACGGAGGGAGAAGAATTTAAGATTAGGTAAGAATCATAAAATACTTAGACAGAATTACATTAAAAAATTTAATCAAATCGATTACTAGTTCAACTCGAGAGTTCATAAACTCATATTTTTCTCAATTTTTTGATGTTGGGTACTCTAACACTGCTCCTCAAGTGCACATCTAGAGCATTTGAATCTAATAGGTTGACCATTTTCAAATGAAATCTCGTCCCATGAAACAGATATTTGAGAAGACAACGGTAACACATAAAGGAACATGAGTCGTTGGTTATGAACTTTCAGATGAACAATCAGACTAAAAAATTACGGACCGCTATGAATTGAATGAATGAACATCTGATCTAGACAAACACATTGACAAACGCAATCGACTAAAACGTAACTTTTCTACTCCGATAACATGATAGAATTTAGGATGAGGTAATGATTATTGGATTATACCATAAGATATTTGAGTTGAACCATATTAAAAATACAATCGATTACTAATTCAAATTGAAAGGTTAAGACTCCATTATTTTTTTTTCAATTGTTTGATGTGCGATGCTCTAACATTAAAAACCCCCATGAGGTCGAAATGGGCAAATTAACATTAGGTCTAAAGTGTAGGCCTTGTTTGGAAACATCGTTTTTTATTAGCGTCAGCGTTTTAGATAAAATTTTAATGATGTATATTAATTCTGAAAATGCTAACGCTAAAGACTACCGTCGAATAGCCTTTTCAAAATTCTAACGCTAATCTCTAACGTTGATGCCAAACGGGGCCGTAATATTCACTTCATCAGTCCTTAGAAGAAATTGTCCCTTTTCTTTTTGTACATTTCAAAATGAATTTCACAATTTTTTTTCTTTTCAAACACTACTACATATCAGGGCTTTAGTATCGATTATTTCAAACTTTTTGCATTGATTTTGTACGGATGCAAATACTAGTGATGCAAATGCAATCGCTCCGGTGTAATTGCATCGATTGTACGATAGCATTAGTTCTTTAATTAATATGACTGATGTTTTTGACTTTTTGCATAGCTTGTGTTCAATGATTATTAATGCAATTGAGTAGTCTATTTGCTTGTTTCTTTGGTGGTGATAAAATTTAAAAGAATGTCAAATACCTTTTGGTCCAACGACATCACGTTAACTCTCCCAAATGTGAGGTCTCAGGTTCGACATCCGGTGAGGGCAATAACTCTATCTATTACATTGAAATAGAGTTCTCGGTGTTAAAAAATGTAAAGAAATAAGTAGTGCATAACATTTCTTTCTCCTCCAAACAAAATTCATCCATTTTTTTATTTTATAACAATATAATTCTATGGTAACTTTTTTTTAGAGATAAAGGGAGTGTTTTTTTAAGGAAGAAATACTTAAATAGAACTAAAAGAACTCTAAATACTAAAATAGTATCTTTATTTTTTAATACTCTGCATAAGAATAACGGCCCGGTTCCATGGCCACTGGAATCCAGTGGCCACGGAACCGAGCCGTAAGAATAAATGCACTAACTTTGTAATGCAAAGTAGTGCGAGCATATTATGTAAAAAAAAACACAACAAAAAAATAATGCTTAATTTCAAATTGTAGCATTTATTGTACTGACATTTCTATGTTAGACACGATTTTATTATGTGGCCTGAGTTATCATTTATCTAATTAATTGATCATTGACCTAATAAATACCCTACGTACTTAATTGGTAATTATTCGATGGACGTAATTACCCTTATGACCTAATTAGAGTTTCTCCTTGGGTGTATATAT